TCCTACTGGGCTGATAGTTAACAAAGTATGTTATTGGCATCTCCCACCCCCACTATGTCATATGGGGCTTGTCTGGAGAACTGATGGAATAATACTTTCTCACTCCAACTGTCTTTTTAAACAAAGTAAATAATCCTCTGTCCTCTCTCTCTCTCTCCTTTTCTTTTAGGTTCATTCTTTTGAAAAGACTAGAGATTTTTTTTAAAAAAATTATTACACCAAATTTTTGCATACTTGACACCTTTAAGATTTTCCTCTTCATTTCTTAATTATATAACTTTAACATTGTATTTTCTGTCACAGCCCATCCAGGATATTGTTCCTCCCCTTTCCAGGTACAAAATACACTTGGATTGACAATTGAACCTTTGTTTTTACTCTGGCAATGGGAAAATATCCTCTACCTCATGCAGCAGATTAAGCCACATTGCACAAAGCTCTGTTCTCCAATACCTTAGTGCTACCACAACCCTGGATCAGGCACCTGAGGTAACAGCTTGGTATCCGTAATGGGGGGGTGGCCCCTTTTTTCCTATTCCAAGCCTGTCAAAGTTGGATAAATGCTGAAGATTTAGGGCTCAACTACACAGTATGAAATACTGCATCTCACAGCACCCTGTTCCCCTCAAAATCAAACAGGAAATAAAGTGTTGGAGGAAGGTCTGTAATTCTTTCTCCCATATCATTTCTATAGTTTAAATGCTCACACTCCCAAAGTCTCCCTAAAATCTTTCTAGCAAGATATTGGCAAAGGGGACAAGGGTAATACAAAATGAGAAGCCCTTGAATTATTTCTTGATCTTCTGATCCATGTCGAGTCCCATTCTGGAGCTCCACAGAACCTGCAGAATATCCTTTTCAAAATATCTTTGTTGTGCACAGTCTAGGGCCCCAGAAATAGTAGCTTCAACACACACACACACACACACACACACACACACACACACACAGAGAGAGAGGGAGAGAGAGAGAGAGAGAGAGAGAGAGAGCATTTTGGATACTTTATCCTACCCATATTTGTTCCAATGGGCAAAATCTTACATGTTTCTCTGTTTCTGTACCCTGCAAAATAGAGACGAACACGAACCAGACAAATGGTGGTTCATGATGGTTCATGGCTACCTATGAACCACCAGTCATAAACCACTTTGTTGTTTTTTAAGTTTGTGCCTGGGGCAAGGGGAAACTAAACTCCCACCCCCTCTGCCACCCACCTGCCCCCTATCTGGTTCTGCTGCCACCGCCTCCATTGTCGTTCCAGCTGCAAACAGGCGGTCTGATGCTGTGCAGCGCTGGATCAGGGCCGTGTGGTGCCAAATCACCCATTTGCAACCTCACAGCCTACCCCTGCCCCTTTCCACTGCCCCTGCCTTTGACAAATTCAAACCGACCCAGACCAGCATGAACCAATGAAGCAGTGATTTTTGACAAACTTCGTAATTCGTTGTTCGGTTTGTGCCCATCTCTACTGCAAAATAATAAGGGATCGATTAAGGAGCCAAGTCAGTAGCCTGCAGTAGTTGGTGGCCTGCAGAAGAAGAAGAAAGGAAGAGAGGAACTAGAAACAAGCTTAAAAACCAGGAGAGAAAAGAACACTGTTTGGTATGTCTGTGCTCACTAATGAACTGGAAATAGAAGAAAATAAAAATGAAACACAGTGGATAGTGCAAATTAGGTATTCTGCTAAACTCATTCTTATAGTTCAGATATTCCCTTAAGAGCCTTGGTCTACAGTCTTTCTGGAAAGTCTCATGAGATGGTTTGGGATCCAACATCCTATATTCTATCTTTTGAACTCTACCATCACTACTGCTACTTTCTTTATCCCCATTTTTTGAGGTTCCTTCATCCTATGTTTGGGCATTGAGCAGCTACCAGGGAAAGAGCCTTGTTGATAGTGATTTTCCATCTCTGAAATCCCAAGGGAGATCTCCCTGGCATCCTCACTAGTACCATTTAGATATTTATTTATTATTTATTTATTTAATTTATATGCCGCCCACTCTACCCAAAGGTCTCTGGGCGGCTTACAACAATATGAGACTAAGAGTAAGATCTTCCTCTTCTGGCAAGCTTCAATAATATTTGTATTTTTGTCTTTATTCTCAAATTCCTTTTTTGCTGCTGGCTTCTCACATTCTTTGCATGATAATATTGTTTTGATTTGTTCAGATTTAAAATAAAATGGATCCTTCTTGAAAATATTTTTAAACTGCTTTTGCCTATTAGGCAGTATATAAACATTTTACATAAAAAAATACATTTACCTCTGATTTGCAAATGAGGGAGGGCAACCTGCACCTCCCAGGGATATGGGTTTGCCCTAGGGGTGAAGATGGCTGTGTTTGTGAATTCCTGACATTACATGCCTATTTTTAAAATGTATTTTATTTATTTACCTGCTGCCAGTTTTATTTGTTTGCATTTAAATGCCTCCAAGGGAGTGAGGTTTCTTTCTTTTCAGTTCTGTGTTTTCCAGCCTTAGGAACATAGAAAGCAATTTGACACTGAGTCAGACCATTGCTCCATTTTCCCTTTGACTGGCAGCAGTCCTCCAAATTACCAGGAAGGCTACTTTTGTGGTTTCCCACCCAAATATTAAGCCAGGTCTGACCCTGCTTAGGAAAATGTGTGATGTGTTGCCAAGTCAATTCCAGCTTCTAATGACAGTTGCCGGGTTTCCAAAGTATGTGCGATATTTAAGGTGCAGTTTTACCAGTGCCGCCCTCCAGCGAGTTTCCATGGCCAACTGGAGATTTATTCCAGGATCTCTTGACTCAAAATCTTGTACTCTATCCACTATAATGCACTGATACTTACAAAGCAACAAATCTTACAATTTAAAGAGTGATCTGATAAGATACGTCTCAGAGATATAAAGACTTCTAGATGCTATTGGACCACAACTCCTACCACCACTCACTACTGGCCATGTACGTTAGGACTGATGGGAGCTTCTGGTCAACAGCATCAGGAGAGCCTTACGTTCCCCAGTGCTCCTGTGGAGTCATTATATCCAAAACCTAAAAATGTGTAACTGTGTCACTGGTCATAAATCAATCTAATAAAATATGTTTTAATGACGCTTATGGAGTTTTATCATTGACTGACGTCAACTTTCCATTCCTTTATTTGGTTTTATGCTCATTTTAGTTCAAACCACATCACCGTTTTAGCTTCAGTGTGATTACAGAGGCCAGAAATAGACATTAGTTAGAGCCCATAATTAGAGCTGAATGAATGTTAACATTGCAAAGAGGTGATTGAAGCAATATTTCCATGTTTGTGAAATCAGACTTAAGAGGAATCCCATGCTTGAATCCTGAAAAGCACCAAATAAAATAAACTAATTTACATTATCCCACAGGTGTGAGAAGCTTGTGATGTGACACTCAAGCCCCTTATATTTTCCTCTTCTATCACAATGGAATCATTCTATGATTCAATGATAAGCTGTCTCTAACATCTGTTTCTAGCTATTGGGTTTATTGCAGAGGCTTCAGTTTTCTTTGAAACCTTTATGATGCCAGAGCATGTGAATGTGATTTATTATTAGTAAGATTGCCATAACCCAGTGGTCCCCATTGGGTGGCCTAATTGGCACCTTATAGAAAATAAGACAGCATCATTTGTATAATATGCAAACTCCACATTGTGCAAACTAAGCTCATTAATTGCTGCATTGTTTTTCTAATGATATGTTTCATGTTTGGTGTGATGTATATAGTAACCAGTGATATGAGAGAAACAGTATAGTGTAAGTTTTAGAATGTTCAGACAGTTCAGTGAGTTCGAGTATTCATCCTGGTGGAAACAATGTGCAGAAATTAAAGACCCCTGCATCCCACATCCCCCAATGCCCTTCCCTTGATGAAAGGGACTTCATGGGAGTCTTGGGATCTTTGGGGTGGAGGTGGGGGAATCAGAAATGTGTTGCTTTTGAAAAACTACTGTGGCCAATGATGAAATGGAATTTCAGCCAATAATGTTTTATCACACACAGGAGATTCTGGTGATATGCTCAGGCAATGGCTGCTGGTTTGTTTGTTTGTTGCCATCAGTTCTTACACCAGGGGATTACATTGAGAAAGAAAGAAAGAAAGAAAGAAAGAAAGAAAGAAAGAAAGAAAGAAAGAAAGAAAGAAAGAAAGAAAGAAAGAAAGAATGAATGAATGAATGAATGAAAGTTAGTTAGTTAGTTAGTTAGTTAGTTAGTTGGTTAGTTAGTTAGTTAGTTAGTTAGTTAGTTAGTTAGTTCAGAATCCAGACCAGCTGGTGGGTTAAATGGGCAGGGTGTGGCATGGCTCAAATCTGGGTAAAACAGGTTAATATGGAAATCCCATCTATTATTAGTATGGATCAAGTAAAACATAGGGAGAAGTACACATGAGAGCAGAGAAATGTGTTTTACAGAGAAAGCACAAGTGCACACCCTTTTCAGATTCACAGGGGCTTTCTACAGACTTCTGAATTTCCATTAGTCATTGGTAAAATGTGCCCCTAAAATGCTGTTCCCACCTACCCAAACTTAAGTGACATTCACTTTCCAACTGAAGATCTGAGAAGATCTTGAGAAAGGAAGAGAGGTGTCCGTGTAATCATTCAGTAATCCCTCACTGTGGAACTCCTTCTCATAGGAGTCGAGACTGGCCCCATCTTTGTTGTTCTTCCTCAAGCAGGTGAAGACCTATATCTTCAGGCAAGCTTTTCCTTAGCGACTGGTTATCTAAGAGGGATATAAAAATTGGAATGCTTAATATTTTGTTGCTTTTAATCTGTTTTAATACTGTTTTTATTTAACATTTTTAATACATTGTTTCTTTCATTCTTTTTTACTTTTTGAAAACATTTTTGTTTTTAGCTATCTTTTTTAATGGTATAAGCCCCCTTAGAGCCTTTTATGGAGAAAAAGTGGGGTAAAAATATTTTAAACAAACAATACACATTTTGATTTTAGAATTTTATTTCTGAAAATATTATCTGTTTGGTTTCTTTTTCAGGCTATACCAGTTATTACTGAAAAGGAGAAGGCTGGTGAGTAAATGCTGGGACACTTGTTTTTGTTTTTATCTTGAATTTATTCTTGTATAGCATCCTCTTATGGCTTCTTATGGAAAAAAGCAGGCTTGAAGTGCAGTTTTAGGCAAAGTATAAGTTATAACCTTACAGTTTTGTTACCTGTATGTAAGTTTTGTCACAAGGGGGAAAGGTGGTCCATGAGGATAGTAAAGAATGAAGAATCTCGATATGCTCAGAATGAAGAATTTTGATATGACTTCTGCTCTAAGTCAGGAGGTGGGGAATAATATCACATGTATTGTTGTTTTTTTAATGGTCAGTAACAAAGAAATAAGAAGTCTTCAAGACTGGTTGTTGGTTGATGCTTTATGTTTTGTGTGGAGAAAAAAGTTTCAGATCAATTTGGCAGACAATTTTAGGATGTTAAATGCTTTCTGTTGGATTGATGTTCTGTAGTGCATTCTCTGTGTAGCTGGAAATTACAATTTGGGAGGTCTGGAAGCTCTTTCTCTGATGTGGATATTTTCAGTGTAATGTTTAAGTACATTCTAACTGTGGCTTTTGTAAAATCATTGAGGCTACAGAAAAAAAAATCAGAAAGCAAGCCAATTTTCATATGCAAAGGGAGAAAAAAAACCCATTGATTTGGAACCACATCTAGCCTGACTCACTGTAGACTCTGTGGCCAAATCCAGTTGCTAGTTACAACTGGACAAAACCAATTTAATCAATAGGATTTATGGACACTGACATAATATAGCAGTTTATTCAATCGGTCTTCTCTGGTTGGGACTATGATTGGTTTTAGACAATTGAAATCAATGAGACCTCCTTTAGTCATTTTTCAGAGCGAGAGTCATTAGATAGCTACAGCAAAAACAACGAAGAGCCGTATGACATCAATTCTAGGGCGTTTGTGTTGTCACCAGCAAACGTTTTGTGAACAGCCACTGTTGATAATGTGATTGTCATCGCCTATACTTTCTGCAACTCCTTTTCAAATTGTTACAGGGGCAATATGCATCTTCATTTGAGTACCAATGTTTGAATACATTTGAGCAGTTAGCATGTATTTAACATATGTTTAGTTCATATCTCTTTGATTCCTTCTGACAGATACTCTCATGCGTTTTTCACTTTATAAAAGAATATGGTCTTCACATAGATGGCTAATTTCCTAAAATGCCTTGTCAAACCTTTTGAAATGTTATGGTTTTTCAGTGTAAGAAATCGAATGGATCATCCATCCATCCTAAATGCACAGCGTCCTGGGCAGAGCATTGAGAGTAGATTCCTCCCCACTCCCCTTTGGACATAGATCTCCAGCAATGTACTGCAGTTGGATAGTAGTGATTTCCACAAGACGGTTCACTGGTTTAATAGATAAAGGGGAGCAAACCCAGCCCCTGTTCCCTCCCAGTCCTTCTGCTACTCTTCTTTCATCATAAACTGGTCATTTTCTGTAGCACCTCTGATCTGGAAGTAGAAAAATACAGACAATGGAAAAGAACCTTAACTGCAGGCAGCTTCTTCCAATCTTTAATCATAAGTGTCAAGCAGCTTCACTGTGCCACCACATGGAGACAGGAACTGAAGCCTATAAAGTGACAGAGTGATGACAAGATAGGTCAGGCTTCAATACATGAGCTCTCAGCATGAAAGCCTTTCAAAAGTCACTAGCAACATGTTCTTCTGTCAGTAAACAAGATCCTTTTTTTTTAACTGCCTGGTGAGCTGGAGGAAATGTTTAAAATCTGATCTAACTGGCATTCTAGGAAGAAAGCACTAAAGCTTCTAATCGCTTTTTCAAAGTGTTTGAACTGGATTATCTCTCCCTTTTATTTCTTCCAATCTAGTTTGGGATTTAAGGCTGGCAGCATCTCAAGTACTCTTGTTCCGTACAGCTTTGTTAGATAAGACTGGAAGGCTAGTTTGCTCTTTAAACAAGAGATGTCAGCTCTTCTGTGTGAAACAGGCACAGAAGTGAGAATAATGCAGGTGGTTTGTGTAAATAAATTTTTTTAAAAAAACTGCCTTTCCTGTAAAAGGGATTTAAGCACGTGTATACAAATATTCACAGAAGAAAATTTCTCTCTGCAAGGGTAGCCCAATATTTTGCCGCCTTAGGGGAAGAACAAGAAGGTACTCACTCCCACTCCATGCACAAAAGCTGACTAGAATGGAAACTCAACCTTTCTTCAGCATTAGGGATGTTTGTTGCATTGGAAAGCATCAGGCCTGTGTCAGAATTGCAGAGTAAGCTGCAAAGTAGACCACTCTCTCCTCTCGTGCCTTGCTTGCTCCCACATCAAAGATCTGAGACAACTGTATTATTTTGTCTAATGGTAGGGCCGGTCCTTGCCTAGTTGTTTCCTATTAGTATTTATCCCAGGCGAAAATATGGATGAAGAAGAATTGGTAAAGCGAAGATGAATGAGAGATCTTGTTAGCAGAATATGCCATCAACATGTAGTGGGATGGTACAGTATGGCACGGGCAATAAAGTCTTTCTCCTCTTCCTTGTCTTAGCCCTTCATTCATAGGAGCTTGAAGAAGTTACCTGTTGACCCTCAATTCCCAGAATACCCAGCCATCATGGCCACTAGTCATGCTGGCTAGGTTCTGGGGATTTGGTTCCAAAAAAGTAACTTTTCCAAACTTTGCATAAGAATAAAATCTGCAAAAGCCCATACTGAATATAAACACATATGCAATACAACAACGCTTAGGGTTGTCTTTTTCTTTCATTTTTTAAAAGAGCATTTTAACCCTTCTATATCCGTATAAGACTCAAGTTATACAGTCATGTGAAAAAGAAAGTACACCCTCTTTGAATTATAGAGTTTTACATCTCAAGATATCACAAAAATCATCCGACCCTTAGCAGATCTGAAAGTTAGGTAAATACAACCTCAAATGAACAACAACACATGACATATGACACTGTGTCATGATTTATTTTACAAAAATAAAGCCATATGTAAAAAACTAAGTACACCCTTATTGCTTCCATAAGAATTAAGAGGTTAAGTAGTCGTCAGGTGCTGCTAACCAAATGCCCTTGAGTAACTGATCATCAGCAAGTGTGATCACCTCTATAAAAGCTGGTGTGTTAGTAGTTTCCTGGTCTTGAGCATTCAGCTGTGTGTTAACACAACGCCAAGGAAGAAACACATCAGCAATGATGGTAGAGAAGCAATTGTTGCTTCCCATCAATCTGGCAAGGGTTGAAAGGCCACCTCCAAACAATTTAAAGTCCATCATCATTCTGCAGTGAGGAAGATTATTCACAAGTGGAAAACATTCAAGACAGTTGCCAATCTTCCCAGAAGTGGACTTCCAATTCACCCCAAGGTCAGACGGTGCAATGCTCAGAGAAACTGCAAAAAAAATCCCAAGAGTTCCATCTCAGGCTCTACAGGTCTTAGTTAGCATGTTAAATGTTAAAGTTCATGATAGTACAATTAGAAAAAGATTGAACAAGTATGGTTGGTTTGGAAGGGTTTCCAGAATAAAGCCTCATCGCCCTAAAAAGAACATGGCAACACAGCTTAGGTTTGCAAAATTGCATCTGGACAAACCACAAGACTTCTGGAACAATGTCCCTTGGACAGATGAGGCCAAAATGGAGATGTATGGCCATAATGCAGAGCACCACGTTTGGTGAAAACCAAGCATAGCTTAGCAGCACAAATACCTCATACTGGCTGTCAAGCACAGTGGTGGAGGGGTGATGATTTGGACTTGTTTTGCAGCCACAGAATCTGGGCCCATTGAGTGATGAAACAGAACAATAATCCTATGCACCATCAAATCTACAACAAAATGACTGAAAATGAAAAAAATCAAGGTGTTTCAATGGCCCAGTCAAAGTCCTCAGCCTGATTGAAATGCTGTGGTGGGACCTTAAGAGAGCCACAAATGTCCGCAAACCTCAATGAACTGAAGCAACGTTGTAAAGAAGAGTGAGCCAACATTCCTCCACAATGATATGAGGGACTGAAACAGTCATACAGAAAATGATTACTTCAAGTTATTGCTGCTAAAGGTGGTGCTGCAAGCTACTGAATCATAAGGTGTACTTAGTTTTCCACCCCACCTTCTCAATTTTGGCTTTATTTTTGTTAAATAAATCATGAGACCGTGTAATACTGTATGTCATGAGTTGCTGTTCATCTGAGGTTGTATTTACTCGCTATTCAAATCAGCTAAGGACCAGATGATTTTTATTATGTCCTGTCACATAAAACCATAGAATTCAAAGAGGGTGTACTTTTTCACATGACTGTATATTCCTTTTTTTATGAGAACTGTACATTGGCTTTAACTGTGAACCACTTCAGAACTTTTATACAGTATCAACTCTGATATGTTAGGTTTCAGGTTCTGTGGTGAGCAACCCAGAAACTCGACCACCATTTCTTTCCTGAAGTGAATAGTTTCCACCAGATTGTCACATCGCATTATCTTTCCCAGTCCTATTTCTTGAGCTGAACCAAATACTAATGAATTCCAATGGCCACATAATTGCATTAGTTGCCTTGTGGACATTCATGTGCTACAGGAAAAATGAAGACAGTCAGAGGTCCTGATCATTAATGTTGCATGTAAGGGGTGGTGATGAATTTTTCCCACTTACCAGAAGAGGAGAGACTTCTGGCTTTCAGTGAACTCTTGCTTTAGCCTTTTGAAGCTCATGAATGCCTCAGCAGGTTAATGCAGTACCCATCGGATCTGACTGACCCAAATATTAGGACTACTTGAGATGGCAAATGCTAAGAGTAGTGTTGGGTTATTGTTCCTTCTGAGCCCTTCTGCTGCCGTCCTCTGTTACAAAAAGAAGAAGGAGATGTGTGTAACATGTGCACCCAGAGTAGTTGCTTGACATTAGATGGAAAGGGTGGAAATGTAATTAATTAATATGGCCTCCCCATACTTCCTATGCTAAGTAAGCTGGCTGCCCTCAGCTACAATATTTGAAGTTGATCCATTACTAGTTTTAGAAGTGGGGTTCA